ATATAACTAATACTGCTTTCTTTTGATTAGTGTTATCATGGTATGTCTTTCTCTATCCCTTTACTTTTAACCTATTTTAAAAAAATATAAAGTGGGTTTCTGTAGACAACATATAGTTGGAGCTTGCTTTTTGATTCACTCTGACAAACTCTGTATTTTATTTAGTGTGTTTATATCACTGATGTTAAATGTGATTATTGAATGTGATTCAAGTTAAACCTTGAGCAACACAGGTTTGAATTTCACAGGTTCACTTAAATGCAGATTTTCTTTAAATAAATATATTGGAAAACTTTTTGGAGATTTGTGAGAGTTTGAAAAACTTGCAGATGAATTGGATAGCCTAGAAATGTTTTTAAAAATTAAGAAAAGTCATGTCAAGAAGACATAAAATCAGAGCCGGGCTCGGTGGCTCAGCCTGTAATCCCGCGCCTTTGGGAGGCTGAGGTGAGTGAATTGCCTGAGCCCGCGGGTTCGAGATCTGCCTGGGCAGCGAGACCTCATCTCTACAATAAATTTTAAAAAATCAGCCGGGCGTGGTAGCGCGTGCCTGTAGTTCCAGCTACTCGGAAGGCTGAGGCGGAAGGATCACCGGAGCCCAGCGAGTCAAGGCTGCGGTGGCCAGTAGTGGCCACTGCCCTCCAGTCTGGGTGACAGAGTGAGACTCTGACTCAAAAAAAAAAGAAGAAGAAGAAGACATAAAATCTATGTAGATAGCTGTCTATTTTATCATTTACTACCACAAAATATATACAAATGAGTTATAAAAAGTTAAAATTGACCATTGCCTTGCTAAGCTATGGTGTGGCTATATGCTCTTTGAGCTATGGTCAGGCCATGTTTCCTGGCTTTGTCTCCTTCCCTACCTTGGAGAGCTGAATCTTCTCTTTCTTTCTCTTTCCCTTACTTTTAAATAAACTGTATTTTCTAAGCTAAAAAAAAGAAAGAAAATTAAAATTTATCAAAACTTATACAAATGAACACAGACTGTACAAAGCACCATTTGCAGTTGAGAGAAATGTAAGCAAATGTGAGGATGCAGTATTAAATCATAACTGCATAAAATTAGCTATAATAATATGATACTACTACAGTATAGTAATTTTGTAGTCACTTCCAGCTGCTATTGTGGTGAACTCAAGTGTTGTGAGTATCTGCTAACAATGCAATGTGAAGCTAATCATTTCTGCATGAGCAGTTCATCTCTCCAGTAAATTGTGTATCATGGTAAAAAGTGATCTCTTGTGGTTCTTGAGTAATTTTCATGTTGTTCAGTGCAGTACTGTAAACCTTGAATAATACTGTGAGACCAATATGAAGTGCTTCTAGTGACTCTGGAAATGCTCCCAAGAAGCAGAGAAAAGTAGTGACATTACAAGAAAAGGATGAGTTGCTTGATAAGTACTGTAGACTGAGGTCTGCAGCTGCAGTTGCCTGCTATTTCAAAATGACTAAATCCAACGTAAGGGCCACTGTAAAAAAAAAAAAAAGGAAAGGAAGTTTCTGAAGCACTCTGTGGAGTTATACCACTTTCCGTGAAATACCTTTTTATGTCATATTGAAAGTGCAGCTTTTATGTGGGTGGAGGATTGCTATAATAAAGGGATATCTGTAGACTAATATGATTTGAGAAAAAGAATATTGTCATTAGATGACACCTTAATGGAAGGTGAAGAACCTAAAGCTGGAAAATTTAATGCCAGCAAAGGATGGTTTGATAATGTTAGAAAGATTTGGCTTAAAAAAAAGTCAAGATAACAGGAAAAGTAGCTTCTGCTGACCAAAAAGTTAGCAGATGAGTTTCCAGACCCATTAAAAAAAATCAAATAAAAGTGTATTTGCCCGAATAGGTTTTTAATGTAGACACAAGTGCCCTCTTTTGGAGAAAAATACTATAAAGGACATTTATTAGTAAGGAAGAGAAGGGAACACCAGGATTTAAGGCAGTCAGGTTTATGATCAGTACTACTCTTGTCTATAAAGCTGCTAACACCTGAGCCTTGAAGGGAAAAGATAAACACCAGCTAACAGTCATTTGGTTGTATAAGAAGAAAGTCTGGACAACAAGAACCCTTATTCCGATTTAGTTACATCAGTGCTTTGTCCCTGAAGTCAGGAGGTACCTTGCCAGTAGGAGACTACTTTTTTTTGCTTGTTTTTTTTTTGAGTCAGAGTCTCACTCTGTCAGCCAGGCTGGAGTCCAGTGGCTGCTCCCGGTCACTGCAGCCTTGACCTGCTGGGCTCTGGTGATCCTTCCGCCTTAACCTTCCAAGTAGCTGGAACTACAGGTGTGCGCTACCATGCCTGGCTAATTTTTTGATTTATTGTAGAGACGAGGTCTTACCAGGTTGCTCAGACTGGTCTTGAACCCCTGGGTTCAGACAATCCTCTTGCCTCGACCTCCCAAAGTGCTGGTGTTACAGGCTTGAGCCACTGCCTCTGGCCTGAGACTTCCTTTTAAAGGCCTTTTGATATTGGGCAATAACCTGGCCACCTAGAACCTCATGCATTCAAGACCAAAGAAGTTAAAGTGGTCTACTTGCCCCCAAACACAACATTTCTCATTCAGCCTCTAGATCCGGGAGCCATAAGGACCTTTAAGGCTCATTACACACATAGTACTCTATGGAAAGGATTGTCAGCACTGCAGAAGATAACCCCGACGGAGGGAAGATCATAAAACTCTGGTAAGAGTACACCATTGAAGGTGCTATCATTGTTATAGAAAAGGCCTAAAACAATAAATTCCTGCCAGAGAAAACTGTCCATATATTATGTATGAATTTACAGGATTTATGACAGAGCCAATCAAGGAAATAATGAAAGAGATTGTGAATATGGGGGGGGAAGATGAGCTGTAAAGGCTTTCAAGATACGGATCTTAGAGAAATTCAAGAGCTAATAGACACCACAGCAGAGAAATTAACCCAAGATGACTTGATGGAGATGATTGCTTCTGTACCCATGCCAGTTGATGAGAAAGATGTAGAAGAAACAATACCAGATAATAAATTGACATCAGACAACCTGGCACAAGAGTTCTGATTCTTCAAAACTGCTTTTGACTTCTTTTACATCATGAACTTCTCAGATACGGCACTGAAACTAAAGGAAACAGTGGAAGAAGGTTTGGGACTGTATAGAAACATTTTTAGAGAAATGAAAAAGCAAAAACAATTAGAAATGATAGTGTAAAGTTATACCAAGTGTGCCTGTCTCTTTTGCCTCCCCTTCCACCTTCTCCACCTCTGCCATCCCTGAAACAGCAAGACCAGCCCCTCCTTTTTCACCCAGTCTGGCATGCAGTGGCACAATCACAGCTTACTGCACCCTCTGCCTCCTGGGCTCAGGCAGTTCTTCCACCTCAGCATCCTGAGTAGCTGAGACAATAGGCGCGTACCACTATGCCCGGCTAATTTTTAGATTTTTTTTTTTTGTAGAGACAAGGTCTTGCTTTGTTGCCCAGGCTAGTCTTGAACTCCTGGGCTCCAGCAATTCTCCTGCCTTGGCTTCCCAAAGTGTTGGGATTATAGACAAGAGCTACCGTGCCCAGCCCCCTCACACTGATGGATAATTTTACAGGTTACAGAATTCTAGGTTATTTTTTTTCTTTCAGCATTTTAAATATTTTATTCCACTCTCTTTTTCCACACATGATTTTTGAGGAGAAGTCAGATGTAATTCCTATCTTTGTTTCTCTGTAAGTAAGATGTTTCTTCCCTTTGTTGGCTTTCAAGATTTTTTCTTTCTCTTTGATTTTCTGCAGTTGGAATATGAACAGCCTACGCATAGTTTTTGTTTTTGTTTGTTTGTTTTTGGTACTCATCCGACTTATTGTTCCTGAACTTCCTGAATCTGTGGTTTAGTGTCTGACATTAATTTGAGAAAACTTCAGCCATTATTGCTTCAAATATTTCTTCTGTTCCTTTTTTCTTCCCGTATTCTCATTATGCCTTGGTTATACTTTCTGTAGTTGTATCACAGCTCTTGGTATTCTGTCTTTTAGTCTTTTTTCCTCTGCTTTTCAGTTTTGGAAATCTCTATTGACATATCTTCAAGCTCAGAGACTTTCTCCTCACCTGTGTCCAGGCTACTAATTTTTCTTACAGTATTTTTTATCTCCAGCATTTCATTTTGATTCTTTCTTAGTATTTTCATATCTCTGCTTAAGATGCCTATCTGTTCTCTGTTGTCTAATTTTTCCTTTAGAACCCTTATCATATTAATCATAGTTGTTTGAAATTCCCAATCTGATAATTCTAACATCCTTGCCATATCTGAGTCTGATTCTGGTGCTCTGTGTCATCAAACTGTGGTTTTTGCCTTTTAAAGCACCTTGTAATTTTTTTTTTTTTTTTGTAGAAAGCCAATCATGTTGTATACCGGGTGAAGGGAGTTTAGGTAGAACTAGACCTTTAGTAGTGTGGTAGTAAGATATGAGGGGAGGGAATGCATGGGGATGCATTCTATTGTCCTGGCATTACATCTCAGTTCCTTTTGTGTGCCTGAGTCCCTTGAACACACCAGTGCTTCTTGAATTTTTCCCCGTTAGGTTGGATGGGATGACTAGAGTGGGCTGGAATTGGATATTTCCCTAATCTCATCTTTGGTTGACTCTGATAAAACCCCTAGTGGTTAGGTTCTGGCAAAATGGTTTCTCTTGAGGGCAAGCTCTCAATGCTCTGGCATATTTCAAAAATGGCTTCTTTTCTCCTTCCTTGCCAGAAGCTCAGGGGTATTCTTTGATATTCGCTGTGAGACCCTGATAGAGCTCCTGGAGGTAAAACTCACAAAAGTGTGGTGACCCCTCTGTGAATTTATTTCTCATTTTGCTTTTATTGTGTTATAATCAGATAGCCCTGTAAAACTTGTGAGCTATGGTTTTTGAAACTGTCATCCCAGTTGATTTTGTACAGATTAAAACTGAAGTAGAGATTTTGTTTGGCTGAATGTGCAGAGATTTATTTAGTGGTGATTTCTGTTGTTTGTCTTTCTTTCAGTACTTGGACCATGAGACTGATTCAGCCACATTCATTGACAACAGTGGACAGTTTGTGTCCTCCCAGGTGACAGGTATTAGCCGGAATCCCTACTGTGGCTATGAGCACCAGACGCTGTCCAGCCGGGAGCGCATGGAGGAAGACTCCTTGCTGGCTGCCTTGCAATGGCAGGTTCCGGATGTGGGCCCAGTCCCCTTTGTGAAGAGCACCAACCCTTCTTCCAGCTATTTTGTCATCTTGAACTCCACAGCCTTCTTCAAGGTGGGAGGCCAACTGGAGGTGCTGGTTCGTGTTCAGGATTTTCAAAGAAAACCCAAGAAGTATGGCGGAGACTACCTGCAGGCCAGAATTCACTCCCCCAGGCTGCAGGCAGGGGCTGTGGGCAGAGTGGTGGACTACCAGAATGGATTTTATAAGGTTTTTTTTACTTTGCTCTGGCCAGGCAAAGTTAAAGTGTCTATATCGCTGGTTCACCCCAGTGAAGGGATCAGAGTTCTTCAGCACTTACAGGAAGAGAGACCAGACAGGGTCTATTTCAAGAGTCTCTTCCGTTCAGGAAGAACTTCTGAAACTACTGAGTGCAATGTGTGTCTTCCTGGGAGTCTGCCCCTGTGTAACTTTACAGACCTGTACACTGGAGAGCCCTGGTTCTGCTTCAAACCAAAGAAGCTCCCTTGCAGCAGCAGAATTAACCATTTCAAAGGTGGATACTTGAAGGGTCTCCTAACTGCCTCAGAGAGTGCTTTCTTCCAGAGGTATGTGCTCCTTTTTCTAGGGGATAATTTCAGGAGTTTTTTTTCTCCACTGTCTTTGTCCCACGTAGGAGACTTTCTGGTTTTGGGTATGTGTTTCTTATATCTCTCTTAACTTGACCTGGTTCAGGAGAGGTGGTGAACAAGACAATAAATATAGATTTGTATTTTTGGTTAGTGTTTCAAAAGTGCTTATCTGAGTTTAAATTAAAGACCTTTTACCCTTGAAGTTTTGTTCTTTACCCTCATATCTGTGTTTTACTTCAGAACTTCTTAGCATGTTTACACAGTAGCTGGAGTAGCAAAAATCACTTTTTCACGAACAGATAAGAAGCAATCCAAGAACAGGGCTGCTAGGGGTCTAGTAGTCAGGTTAGTGTTCTTAGCTTCACATCTAATAAACTAAGAATTTTTAAGTGACATCAGTTTTTAAAATCATATAAACATATTGATAGGAAGGAATGACTGTGGTATATGACTAAGACAACATTGCTGGGTTGACTTAATAAGTGTGGGAAGCCAGGAATGTCATAGCAAACTCTATTTTTGAAGTTAACAGTAATTGAAATTATTGCAGTATTGTGTTCAAATTTCTATTTTGAATGTAAGTATAAAACATTTTCAGCATAATGATAAATATATGGAATAATGTGCAGAATGGAATGTATGGAATTAGTATGAATTAAAATGTGTTTTCTTCAACATTCCATATGGTTCTGAAATAACATTCCTAAGAAATAAAAATTTATAAAAGATGAAAAAATGCAATTATTTGAAAGAATATATACTTTAAAACAAAACTAATTAATTAATTATTTAATGATCCAACCTCTCATTTATTTTACGTATGGAAAAACTAAGCACTTGAAAGGTTAATTGACATATTCAAGGTCACACAGCTACATCATTGTCTTAATTTGAACTTTCATTCTGTAACAGTATAACAGTTTGTAATGTGATATATTTGTTATGCTAACGATTGCCATTGCAGCCACACGATGATGTATTTTCCTCTTGCATTTTCATTTTATCAAATATAAAAATAATCACAAATATCTACTCACTGTCAGGGCACCCAGTCTGTTGTTTTAGATCATAGGCATGAAATTGCATCCATTTGATGTTTTGCTTTTCATAGCTGCAAAATGCAATTTCATTAAATATCATCGATTCATTTATTCTGCAAGCATTTGAAACTGTGTTCTTGAGATTGGGGCCAAGGTGACAGGGGAAGAGTGTTAGAAACAAAGTAGGAGATGCATTCCTCTCTGCCACTGTGGGCAGTGAGTGGGCAATATATACAGAAAATGATTCAAGAACAATACAAAGCTTTATATCTACAGGTGCAGAGGATTATGCAAAGTGATTACATGAGTGCTGAGAAGAGGCTCCAGAATAATGGTAGGACATAAATCAGATGGGGTTAGTTAGGCAATCTCCTGGAAAAGGTGAGTTTTGAGCAAGATTATGATAGTAGTTGAAAGATCGTAGCCCTGAGAAGTGAAGAGCCCTCTTTGTTTTTTAAACTTTTTATTTTTATTTTATTTTATTTTTTTTTGAGTTGGAGTCTCACTTTGTCGCCCAGACTGGAGTGCAGTGGGCGCTTCCAGCCACCGCAGCCTCAACCTGCTGGGCTCTGGCGATCCTTCCACCTCAGCCTTCCAAGTAGCTGGAACTACAGGCATGCGCTACCACGCCTGGCTAATTTTTGATTTATTGTGGAGATGAGGTCTCGCCAAGTTGCCCAGGCAGGTTTCGAACCCACAGGCTCAGGCAATTCACTCACCTCAGCCTCCCAAAGTGCAGGATTACAGGCTGAGCCACTGAGCCTGGCTTGTTTTTTAAACTTTTTAATGAAATACATACTTTTTAAACATTTCCTGTTAGGGAGGTATTTTTGTTAAGTATATCTGGGCACCCTAAAATTTTTATGTTTTGTGTCTGCCAACTACTTGGTGGGGAAAAAGTTGCCACCGTAAAGTGAGTGGTCTCTGGGAGCTCCTATAATAAAACCCTTCAGTTCTCCACTTCTGTAGTCAGCTTTTGGTCCTATCAGTTTGAGTAGAGTGGATTCATGCCATGCTTTTGAAAGGCCAACATAGGGAGCACTTTTCAACGTACAATATTCACTGTGCTATTGAGAAAACTAGTATTTCATATTGCTCAGTACAAAACTAAAACTAAATTTAAAAACTCCAAAAAACAAAATCAAAACAAATGATTTTGTTTTAATCTTGGAGTCAGTTAAGGAGTTTGTCAGTGACTGAGCAGATTATTTTATTTCTGTGAACTGTTTTGCCTATGTGTGAAAACGACTCAGTTACCCATCCCATTTTAAAGTTGTGTGTTTTTGGTTTTTTTGGTTTTTTTAGTTGAAGTCTCACTTTGTCTCGCAGGCTGGAGTGCAATGGTTCGTCACGGCCACCGTAGTCTCGATGTGCTGGGCTCAGGTGATCCTTCCACCTCAGCCTTCCAGGTAGCTGGAACTACAGGCACATACCACCATGTCTGGCTAATTTTTTGATTTGTTGCAGAGATGAGGTCTCGCCAAGTTGCCCAGGCTGGTCCCGAACCCATGGGTTCAGACAATTCTCTTACCTCAGCCTCTCAAAGTGCTGGGATTATAGGCATGAGCCACTGGGCCCGGCCACAAAGTTTTGTTTTTCAAAAAAATTATTTATTTTTAATGGATACATACAAGTTGGACATATTAATGGGGTACATGTGATATTATTTCTCTGTGTTAGAAACATTCCAGTTTCAGGCTGGGCGTGATGGCTCACGCCTATAATCCCAGCACTTTGGGATAAATCAAATAATAAATCAAAGAATTAGCTAGGCGTGGTGACACACGCCTGTAGTTCCAGCTACTTGGAAGGCTAAAGTAGAGGGATTGTCTGAGCCCAGCAGGTTGAGGCTGTGCTGCCCTTGATTGTGCCACTGTACTCCAGCCTGGGCGATAGACTAAGACTCTAACTCAAAAAAAAAAAAAAAAAAGAAAAAAGAAAAAGAAGCATTCCAGTTTTACTCTTTTAGTCATTTTGAAATATACAATAAATTATTGTTGTCTGTAGTTGCTCTGTAGAATTATATCGTCAGTCTATTCAGTAGCCTGGTGAAGAGAAAGAAGCATAGTTTGTGAATGACTCAGTCCATGTAGAAAATAGTGGAAGAACTAAACTCATGTAAAACTTAAAAAATGTTTCTGGCTCTAAAAAATACCATTTAAAACAAAAACCACCTGTGATTCCACAAGCATAAAATTATGTATTTGTCCTTGCCCTTAGTTGCATGTCTTGGGTGAGGCTGGTTGATAGCATACTGTAGGAGAATCATTATAGAGTTCTACTTACCTGCAAGTTTGCTGGGAATTTTGTTTTTTATGATTGACAGTTTCAGTGTTGCTGTATTGTAGAATGTCCTTTGCTTAGGATTTTATTTATTGCTTCCTCATAATTAGAACAAGGTTAAATATCTTTGCAGGAAAATTATACTTTTGCAAGAAAGTTATAATTGTATGATAATTATGTAATTATAATTATAGAGAAATAAATTATATTCTTTTTCTTATCATAAAACTTTAAGATCATGAAAGTAGTTTATATGTGTTTCTTAAGTGTCACTTATCTAAGCTATGAAATTCTGTTAACTCTCTAATGTAGCCAGGCCGGTATACTTCCTTCATTATTTGTTTTTTGTCTGTCTCCCCAGTTAGAATGTCAGCTCCATGAAGAAGGAGTTGTAGTATGTTTTGTTTACTGTTATGTAGTCCTGACACCTTGACAGTGCCTGGCTTAAGAAGCTTAAGAGTTATTTGTTGAATGAACAGATTTTTTCTGAAATTGATGAAACAATAAAAAATTTTGACTGCACGTTTCCCATCAAGAGTTTGGGACGTTAGTATTTTATTTTGCTTTGTTTTTGGTCTAAGTGTAAGTGGCCTAATTTTATTGTGACCCAGTTTCTGGAATTAGTTACATTGGGCTTTCAATGCTCTTCTCTGGGCTGCCACCCTTCCAGGTTCTCATGCAGCCCTCTGAAAATATTTACTGAGCACGGACTTTAGATCTGGGCCTGTGCTAAGTGCTGAAGATACAAAGGCGAATGAGGCACCGTCCGTGTCTTCGAGTGGCATGTGTTTTAGTAAGGGGAACGGACACTAAGGAGGCATAGTAATGACAAAGTACTGCATGGGTCCATGCCTGGGGGCAGATGTCCCAAGAGGACTCATCTCAGATCTGATCCATGACTTAATGTGCATAGACTTGCAGCCTGAAATCTAGGTGGTGACAACATAGATGATTTTGTCAGTGAGCCATCCTCTAAGTCCAAAGGGAATAAGTAATTCAAGCCAGAATTGCCCATTTTGGAGTTTATACTCTCAGGACTGACTAAGCAGTATACAGTGCAGTGAAAATTAAGAATCAATTTAGTTCTTTTTCAGTTTATATATACATATAACTTGCCTATTACAAGATACTTAGTTTATTATTAATTGTGTTGGTTAACATTTATAAGCATATTTCATCATAAGACTATGTGATTAATATCATTTTTTGACTTACAAATGAAGATATATATATATCTGAAAATAAATGTACTTGAACCTAAGCTCTGCTTTTTTTTTTTGTTTGTTTTCTTCTTAAAGTGGTGTCAATATCAAAATGCCAATCAACGCCAGTGGACCTGATTGGGTAACTGTGATTCCCATGAGAATAAGAGGTAAAAAAAGAATGAGCTCGATCATGTTATTTTTCTTACTTAGTGGGTTGAAACTCTGTTGTTTCACTGGCATTGCAAAAACTTTTTTCCCTCTTTAATATGCCGTAGTTACTTCTGGGCACAATTGAAAATATTAGCACTATTTTATTAAAAAAACAATCAGTTACACCTTATGTGCATAATGCAGGGTTTTGCTGTTTATGCTCATGTAAAAGTTGTCTTCTCCTGCCATCCCTCCTCTATTTGGCCCTTCAAGAATCTTTAGATCTAAGCTGTCCAATATGATAGTTACTACCCACATGTGGCTAAATAAAAATGATTGAAAATTAAAAATCTATATATTCAGTCACACATGTCCAATAACTACATGCAGCTAGTGGCTGTCTTTTTGGACAGCATTTTATTTTATTGTATTATTTTATTGTATTTTTCTCAGACAAGACTTAAGGGTGGCACATCTCACATAGGTATGCACAAATACCCAATCGTCATGCTACAAAAGGATCTGGACAGCATTTTATATAGAATTTATCTGTCGTCACAGAAGTTATATTGGACGTCACTGCTCCTGGGAGACTCAAGACATGTGGGTAAAATTTTCATGAAAAGTTTAGAAAACATTGGGTTGGTGAATAGCAGCTGTTCTATACAGCAGTGTTGTCTGTAGAGCAGTGGCATCAGCATTACCAGGGGACTTGCTAGAATTGCAAATTCTCAGGTCCCAACTCAGGCTAGTGAATCAGAAACTACCTAGCAGTCTGTGTTTTAACAAACTTTTCAGGTGATTCTATTCGTTGGTGTAGGCTACTATTTAATAGTAAAAGAAAAAAATTCAGAGGAGTAAATATATTGTGTTATGTTTTTCAGAATAGATATAATCAGCTCTAGTGGTTTTTAGAAAGAAAGGATGAATGTTATGAATGAGGCCTATGCTGATAGTGGGCAAGATTGGTCCTTGAAAGCATGTTGACCAATAGCACCTTGCACTCTAGATGCTGCAAACCCTTCTGCTCAGTGCCTGGGTATATAAGACACATGTGTCAAGCAGGGCAGATGTTAGCTACATGCATACCTTGTGCTGGGTGCTGCAGAAGGAACCGAAGAGCAAGGACCTTTTCCAGAGGCAGCCTCTCCTCAGTTTCTGCTGCTTTGTTACCATGCAGAAACAAACCCTGCGTGGTCAGACTGCAGATTGTTTTTATGAGAAACCAAACATTTTTAAATGTGATACCTCCAGATTTTAAAACATTGGCATCCAATTAAAAACTTTAAAAATATCGTATTGGCTAGATAAAATTTGTCTGGTCCAAATGTAGCCAGGGCATTGACTGTCTATATCTCTACTACTGTAGGCCACAGGATTCCCAATCTTTTCCTAATGAAGAGCTGGATTTAATTTGCTTGAACCAGATGATTGACTAACTTTAGAGGACACGTACATGCCACTTTATGAATGGAAATATTTATCTTTTATCTGTCTGAGCCTCACCCAGTGGCCAAGATGTCAGTAGTCGTGGTGTCCCCTGGTTTACTGTACTCTCCCCACTCTTCTGTGTCTGACAGCTCCAGGAGGCCCTGGTCCCTATAGCATCTGCCCTTCTTCCCCACAGTCTCAGCTAGCTTGTCTACCTTGTGATATTCCTTCAGTATTTCATGGATGAGCTTTTGGAGGGGCTCTGGATGATCTACTTGTATCTGACAGGTCTGGAGATCAGCCAGGAAGTGGTTGTGATGTACTTCTGGTTAGAGAGAAGACAGATTCAGAACCTGTGAGGCCTTTGATGGTTTTTTTTCCCCTGAGTCAGAGTCTCACTCTGTTGCCCAGACTGGAGTGCAGTGGCCTTCTCACAGCCACTGCAGCTTCCACCTGCTGGGCTCAGGCGATCCTTCTGCCTCAGCCTTCCAAGCAGCTGGAACTACAGGTGCGTGCAAGCACACCCAGCTTGTTTTCTGATTTTTTGTAGACATAAGGTCTCACCAAGTTGCCTAGGCTGGTCTTGAACCAGTGAGCTCAGGCAGTCCTTTCGCCTTGGCCTCCCAAAATTCTGGGATTACAGGTTTGACTGTGCCTGGGTCGATGGATTTTTAGAGGAAGAAAGTACTATGAATCAGTAGGAGCAGAATAGCCTGACTTTGAATAGGAATACCGTCTTGTAGCAGGTTCATAATTGGAAAGAAAAGAAGGATAATTGCTTTATAGACTATATATAGAAGGAGTCCAGCTCAACAGAACTTTATTGAAGTTCACTCTAGTGACCGGCAGAGGGCACTGAAAGACTCTAAATCAAGAGCTCATCTTTTTCATTTCCTTCCTCTTTCCTACATTCTATGCACACATTCTGTTTCTGCTAAAACTTTCACTCACTAATTTTAGTATTCATCAGTGTTCATCTGTTTTGCCTGTAACAGTGGCATTCTATGGCATTCTAATGGTGAGTTTTTGTATCTCTCATTCTTTCGACCTTAGTTGGAACTCTTCTGTAAAGAGCTGTTTCTTCTTCCCTGTTTATTATTTATGTCAGTATGGACTCATTATTATTTCATTCTTTGAGTTATAATCCAATTCAGTTGTTTATTTTTTGCTCAGACTGTTCTACTTTTGGCGATTGGGAACTTTTTTGGTTTGGCTTCTGTGCCCTTTTGACATGCTCTCATCCTTTTGTTTTGTTTTTAGCACGTCCTTTCTGACACCACAAGATATTTGAGACTCATCTTGTGTTTCCTTTGCCCTACCCTTAGAAGGGTTTATAATCTTTTTACTTTTATTATTTCACTTATGAATCCTTTATTTTGAAGTTTTTTCCCTATGAGTTTTTATTTGTATATTAGCTAGTTCATTGTCTTATGAGGTAAAATTATTCTTAGATGCATATTTAGAGTCCAGTCGATTGCTTGAGATTGCCAGTGCTGTTATGGGTATAATTCCAGTCAAAAGCAAAGGAAAAAAATTTTAATTAGACACTGCCCTATTAAGGGCAAGTGTCTGGTGACTGTCAGGTTTTCCTAGTGCCAGAGTTACTGCTGAGTTTTCATTAGCATCTGTACAGTGGTCCCCAGACCATCACAGCTAAATGGCTCAGGGTTCTTGACAGAGTCTAACCTCATCCACAACTTGAGCTCATATTTTTGGGGGAAGCTTAGTGAGAGTTTGGGGTAAGATTAGGTCTGATAGCAATAGTATAGATGCTAACATCTTCATAGCCCTTTACTATTTAAAAAATTTATCAGCCGGGCTCGGTGGCTCAGCCTGTAATCCCGCGCCTTTGGGAGGCTGAGGTGAGCGGATTGCCTGAGCCCGCGGGTTCGAGACCCGCCTGGGCAGGCAAGACCTCATCTCTACAATAAATCAAAAAATCAGCCGGGCGTGGTAGTGCACGCCTGTAGTTCCAGCTACTTGGAAGGCTGAGGCGGAAGGATCGCCGGAGCCCAGCAGGTCGAGGCTGCGGTGGCCGGGAGCGGCCACTGCACTCCAGTCTGGGTGACAGAGTGAGACTCCAACTCAAAAAAAAAAAAACAAAAACAAAAACAAAAAATTTATCAAGGTGTGTCTTATATACAGTAGAGCACATGGATTGTAATTATGTAGCACAAGGAAGTTTTACATTTGTGTGTATCTTTGTAACTATGGTAGGCCGAATACTAAGCTGACTTCCAGCGATGCAGTGTCCTTATATAACCCTCTTTCCCTTGAGTGTGGGAGTGACTGCAAATATGATGGGGTAGCACTTCCATGACTGATTATAAGAAGGACACATTATTCTGGGTAGACCCGACCTTATTAGATCAGCCGTTAACAGGGACCATGTAATTCCTGAAGAAAGAGATTCAAGGTGTGAGAAGGGTTCCACGTGAGGGAGATTTTTGTTGTTGTTGCTGGCTTTAAAGATGGAGGGGCCCACATGGCAAGGAGCATAGGCAGCTTCTAGGAGCTGAAGGGCGTCCTCTGGCTCATAACCAGCAAGGAAATAGGGAACTCAGTGTAGCATCCATGAGGGACTGAATTCCACCAGCCACTTGGATAAACTTTCTGAAGCCTCTCCTCCAGAGAACACAACCCTTCTCACACCCTGATTTCAACCTGAGTTCCTGAGCAGAGGACCCAGCTGCACCATGTCCCGGACTCCTGACCTACTGAACGGAGGGATAATATACCACAAACATTAAGATATCGAACACTTAGAAGTTATAGAATGTTTCCAGGACCCCAGCATAGCTCTTCACTGTCAAAAAAGTGCTTTCACACTATTATGGTATTGACTGTTCATAGCAGCCCTTCCAAAAAACTAGTAGTTTTAGTAGTTTATTTGTTTTATAAATGATGAAACCAGAGTCCAAGGGCTCATTTGTTCAATCATTTTTTTTTTTTTTGAGTTGGAGTCTCACTCTGTCACCCAGACTAGAGTGCAGTGGCCACTCCCGGCCACCGCAGCCTCGACCTGCTGGGCTCCGGCGATCCTTCCGCCTCAGCCTTCCAAGTAGCTGGAACTACAGGTGCGCGCTACCACGCCCGGCTAATTTTTTTTGATTTATTGTAGAGATGAGGTCTCACCTGCCCAGGCGGGTCTCGAACCTGCGGGCTCAGGCAATCCACTCACCTCAGCCTCCCAAAGGCACGGGATTACAGGCTGAGCCACCGAGCCCGGCTTGTTCAATCATTTTGATACCTGCTCTGTTAGTCTAGACTCTGAGGGTACAGCTGGGGAATAAGATGAGAGTTTAAGGGATCTTTGGGGTCTCATGGTTGGAGATATGAAGTCGAACTTAGACTAGGTCCTAGTATCCTTAAACCATGCCTAGGAGGTATAGCCAAGGATATCTTGATGTTTTGGTTTACCTGCCATGGTGAAATTTATTTATTTATTTTTTATTTTTATTTATTTATTTTTTGAGTTGGAGTCTCACTCTGTCGCCCAGACTAGAGTGCAGTGGCTGCTCCCGGCCACTGCAACCTCGACCTGCTGTGCTCCGACGATCCTTCTGCCTCAGCCTTCCAAGTAGCCGGAATTACAGGCATGCACTACCACGCCCGGCTGATTTTTTGATTTATTGTAGAGATGAGGTCTCACTGCCCAGGCGGGTCTCGAACCTGCGGGCTCAGGCAATCCACTCACCTCAGCCTCCCAAAGGCGCGGGATTACAGGCTGAGCCACCGAGCCCGGCTCGTGGTGAAATTTATTAACACTTTAGTATCCAGATACATCCAGCAGGTAATGGAGTGAATGATATTAGTGTTTCCTGTTATACAGTGAAAACTAAACTAGTCAGTCATTTTGTGGATGAAACTTCTCTGGGTTGTTGAATCCTAGAAAATAGCAGAGAAATGTTATCACAATAAACGAGACAAAGCTACTTTATTTTTTATTTTCATTTTTTATTTTAAAGATGTGGAGTACAGTTCAGGGTTAGGTATACAGATGTTTATTATGCAGGTGCCCTTGTTGATGAGGTGTGGCCCCCCTCCCCTGGCAGTTTCCCTCAACTGCCAATCCTTCCCCCACCCCTGGCAGTTTCCCACTACTGCCAATCCCTTTCCTATAGTATTTTGTGAGAACATATGGTACTCTGTTCTTTGTTTCTGTGATAGATCACTGAGTATGATAGACTCTAAATCCATCCAAGTTATTGCCAAGTCCATGTATTTGGGACAAAGCTACTTTAAAGACATCTACTTTCCAGTTATTGGAAAAAAATAATGTGATATAGAATACATTCTATTTAGTCAACCTAGAAATCAAGGGGCTCATATCCTGCATATGGAACCCAACAAACTGACATCGTTTAGGGGAAGGAAACCCGCTCCCACAACAACATTAAGAATGAAATATTTTTGTCTTGTAAGCAGTACCACTTCTACCACTGAGAAGCTTTGTCTAAGAAACTTTGGCAAGTTACTCTGTAACTTGCTTTCTTCATCTTTAATAGCTATTTGGGCCGGGCTCAGTGGCTCAGCCTGTAATCCCAGCACTTGTGATGTTGAGGCAAGTGGATTGCCTGAGCCCGCAGGTTCAAGACCAGCACAGGCAACTTGGCGAGAGCTCATCTCTACAATAAATAAATAAATAATTAGCCAGGTGTAGTAGCACACTGCTGTAGTTCTGGCTACTTGTAAGGCTGAGGCGGAAGGATCGCTGGAGCCCAGCAGGTTGATGCTGGGGTGGCTGTGAGTGTGCATGCCACTACACTCCAGCCTGGGCTCACAGAGTGAGACTCCAAGTTAAAAAAAAAAAAAAGATATTTGGACTTGCTATTTTTTGAGTTCCCTTTTGACTGTCTGTGAATCTATAGTTGTTTCCACGTAGGCAGCATTCTTAACTTTACTGTGTAAAATGCTGAGCTTTTTAGGGGACTAAAATATAAAGAAAATAGCAGAAATTTAAGGTTTTATAGGGAGAATTCAAGGAGAACACACAGACTCCAGCCACTGTATTTACTGTGCAGCCAGGCTCTTCTCACATTCCCAGCCGCTAAAAAGGTGTGCCTCAACAACTCTACAAGTCCTGTCCCCGTCCCCATCCCCATCCCACGGAGGGGGCCAGGCCTCCTGTGCTCATGGCATTCCCTGGTGCAGGGAATTGTTTCATCCCATTTCTTCTCTGTCTTGTCTTTTTTTTTTTTCTTCCTCATAAATTGTGTACTCCCTTCTGTTCTGCCTTTTTACTGTGCTTAATTCTACAGGTAATTCTATGCCACAAAGGTAAGGGGACAGGTGGACCATACATGTGTGCCCTTCATCCCTAATTCACATCGTAGCCTTCTCGTCCATCTCTTTCTAGATGGTTTAGGAAGTTTATCTGCCGTTTCTCTCTCATTTTGTTCCATTTATGGCCCAAATGGCCTTCATTGTGGCTAATGGATACCTGAGATGACACCCTTTGGGGGGAAATGTAAGTCATGGGCTTTAAAGAGGCGCCAAGACATTTTAGAGATAGAGACATTACTTGCAAATGGTAAAAGAGTGTCCCTTCTGATTTTGCACGAAGGTCTTTATTTCTGCTTTTCCAGCCACCTCTGTGTAAACTTTTTCTTTCACCAGTAATATTCAGGATTACCATAAAGTTGAGTAATAGCTCATTTTTTGTTTTAATTATTTTATTCCACATTAGGGGTTATGTTACCGATTTAAGAGACTTCCATATCTCTGTTATCGAATGTGAAAATGCGCCCTGAGTTCCAGGACGCTGTTGCAACAGCCACAAGCCTATTATCAGAGGATGTTTTTGTCCCAGCTGACCATAAGGGGGCGTTGTAGGCTCATGCATTTCACTTAAAAAAATAAGGTTCCTTTATGTAGCATGCAGTATGTTTAAAGAATTAATGTCAGGTTCAGTTAATTGATTTGCTTTGCTTGACTTGGCTCTGGTAGTAAATATAATTAGCATTTGAATGGAAATGGTTATTGTTTTCTGTGTGATATATACTGTTTAAAATAACACATATTTGACACCGGATAGCTATTTACCAAATTAACAGTGGTAAAAATTATAACATCAAAGTCACTTTATCACTTTTTTTTTGAGTCAGTGTCTCACTTTGTTGCCCTGGCTGAAGTGCAGTGACATAGTCATGACTTACCTCAGCCTCAACCTCCTCTTGGGCTCAGGCAATCCTTCTACTCAGCCTCCCTGGCAGCTGGGACTACAGGCGCACTCCACCATGTTTGGTGTATTTTTCTGTTTGTCTCTCCTTCTGTCTGTCTGTCTGTCTGTCTGTCTGTCTATCTATCTATCTATCTATCTATCTATCTATCTATCTATCTATCTATCTACGACAAGGTCTTTCTATATTGCCTAGACTGATCTTAAACTCCTGAGCTCAAGGAAACCTCTTGCTTCTGCCTCCCAAAGTGCTAGGATTACAGGTGTGAGCGGTACACTTGGCCCAAAATCACTTTTAATTCTCATCCTCGTAAATGTTTTCTGTGGGCCCTAGGTGTCATCTTCAGAGCCCTCTAGCTATGCAGTCTTGATGTGCTGATATAATGAGGGCACTTTAGATGAGGTGTAGTAACATGGTCACGCTACACTTGATAATGGGTTAGGAAAACATTTTTGAATAAACCAAGCAAATATTTACCCCACCCCCTGATTTTTCTTTGATAATCACATTTGCCAACTAAAGCTTTTTAAAACAGTGTTTACTTTTCCACTTGGGCCTTGAACCTGCAAAGAATTAGCTGATATCTAAGAAAAAAGATTAGATAAGTGCTGTCAAATAGGGCATCTTCTCTAAAGGGAATTAAAACTGAAATAATGTTGAATTACATGGGTAATATCAAGAAGTCAAATAAACTGAAAATAGTCACAAATAGGGACTCGCTTAAAATTTTTGAGTTGTGGCCGTTGCTTTACTAAATTCTGGCATGGCCATGTGCTCTTTGAGCTATGGCCACCACTATGTTTCCTAAGCTTTGGCCCCCTCCCCTACCTTGGAGAGGTGGAAATTTTGTGAGTTGTATAAGCATTTGGTTGAAAATTGTGGTTTAATAGGCAATAATAGAATGACTAGATTATTAGCAAGGTTGTATAAAGAAGTGATATAAACTGGTGATTGTATCACTGAAGATTGTAGATTTGAATAATTGTTAGAAATGAATAAACATATGCCTTTGAGAACAAAAACAAAAGAAATTGCAGGCATCTATAAACTTCTGCTTTTGAGAAGTGGTCTGGCACAGTGGTTAAGACCTCAGGCTTGGTGGCTTGATCAGGTCCTGACTTTGCTACTCACTAGCTCAGCTCTGGGACCTTGGTCAAGTTGCTTAACTCTTCTGAAAGTCAGGAATAGTAACAGGATATACTTTAAAGGGTTATTGTGAGCAGTGTATGAGATAATTCATTTTATTGCTCAGAACAGTGTCTGGTGCAGAGTAAACTTGAAAGAAATATTAGCCATCACTGTCTGTTTTGAAGCATGTAAAGTGTGTTGTTTCCACAGTGGCATTTTCTACAGGAGGTGTTACAACAGAAGGATATTGATTCTCTCTCTAAGAGGTGTCCTTTTTCTTGTGTTATCATGGGTAGCTAGGCTACAGCCATGAGTACACATTGCTGATGTATTTTTAGTATTGTTGATTATACACAAAGACCTCCTGAACCTTTGTATTGTGGAGAATAAGCCTTTGGACTATATCTCATTAGTTTGTTCTCTATATTAAATCGTGGTTTTTGGAACTAACATTAAAATGTAAAGGCAGGACCCATGGATTGAAGCTTTCCTTTTAATGGGCTGAGAAACTGGACATATATTACTATGTGTATGTAAAATATGAATTTAAGTTATTATTTGCCTCACAGGCATTTGGATAAGAACTGTTCTATTCCAGGATAATGAAGAGCAGATGCTTATATCCACACATTTCCTTGGTTTTTGTCTTCCTTTATATTTTTGATAAAAACATATATAATCAGAGAAAATGCTCAAAGTTCTGTTTTTCCCCTTCTGTCCACCAACACCCTCACACCCATTTCAGATCTTCCCGTTTTTGTGCATAAGAGAGCCTTTTTGTATCGGGGGAAATGTTGGGATTTCTTTGAGATACGACACCAAGAAATGTTTCCCATATGTCAGCAAGCTGACAAATTGATGTGTTTCTCGAGACATTTTCATCTATTGTTGGAGAAGAATGTCAGAATATCTTATTTTCTTCTTCTTTTTTCTAAAACAGAAATGAACAACTTCAAATTATCCCAAGGATCAAAAACTTTTCCTTCTGGATATTATTATAAAGACCAATGGAGGCCCAGAAAGTTTAAGATGCGTCAATTTAATGACCCTGACAACATCACAGAATGCTTACAAAGAAAAGTGGTATATTTATTTGGTGACTCAACAATCAGGCAATGGTTTGAATACCTTACTACATTTGTTCCAGGTTGGTACATTGCTTTTTGTTTCTTCTTTTCCACATCAGCTTTGAGATAAGCAGACACACTCAGATGCCTGAAGAAATGCATCAGGTGAGGAAGTGGTTGTTTCTCTGTAGGACTCAAAAGGTATCTTAACCGTGGGAAGATGTGTGACAATTTCTGATCAGTACTGGGGTTGTGTCACACTGGTGGAAACACTGGATTCTCCTGAGGTTTGTGCCACTGAATCACTGTATGACTTTGGACAAGTCATTTACTGCTCAGGGCTTCACACTTCTTGCATGAAATGAGACAGCTGGACCATGCCACTTCACAGGTGTCACTCACTTCTAATATTCTGGGATATAAAATAGAGGGGGGCGTTTTCAGTTGTTTCTCTTCTAGTTCTGTTTGGTCCAACTCCAAATTCGTAGTAGATTTAATTGGAAAGAAGCAACCAAACTTTTTGTGACTCATCTTAATGCAGCAGAGCTGTCCTTGTGTCGTCCATCGGGCCTACTACGGTGTGACTCTGATTTGGAGCTGACTCCTACTGAGGGGGTTTGGGCAAGTCCCAGATTTCTCTGCTTGACCCTGAAGCTGCTCTCTAGACTCAGAGCAAAACCCCAGTTATAGTCACTGTGGGCATTCTCCTCTTTCTGGAAGGAGAAGGAAGGATGGATCTCAGGAAGCCGAAATAAAGGCCCCACTTTCAATTTAGAGAGCTGATATAAATGATTTTGTGGGAACTATTTTTAATGACAGTGTATGGGCAAGGCTTTTCATAAAGTAAAACCCCATGGTTTGTTGTGAGTTGTGATTTTTTATATCAACTCTCATTTATTGGATCAATTTAGCTTTTAAATTTAATGTTTAACGAGGAAAGGAGGAAGTATGTATTACCCTCCAAAAGTGCAAAGTCAATTCCAATTTTTGTTTTGCGTGTGTTTCTCTTGAAACACATTGCTAAGTTCTGGTTGATAAAACCAGAAGAAGGGAAATAATTTGTACAGCATGATGCTAGAGCAGTTTGATGACCAGGCAGAACCCTCCTGGTGTCTGGAGTGACTTGCTTCTTAACTTCTAATGACGTAGCTTGGTATTTCCTTTCACAGCGGTGATCACACTGACCATTTGATTATTTTCCACCATACTCTTTACAGACAGATTTTCACCTGATAAAAGTAAAACCTCATGTCAATGCTTGATCTTAATCAAAAGAAAGTGGTAGCTTGAGTTTTTATTCAGTTTAAGTGGGCTGGATGCTAAATAGTAATGAATTAGGTAGGGAAATCTAGAAGAGATGCCTGGGACTGTAAGGAAAAACATGTGAAACCTACTTTAACCCTTTAGAGGAATATAGGACAATTATAGTCTGATGTTACTTCTTTGGAATAGACTGTAAACTCTCAGAGTGCAAGGACTGTGACTTATCCATCTGAGTGCTGCTGGCTTGTAGCACCTGTAGTAGTGGGCACTGAATAGGTACTTAGGAAGTATTAATTGAATTGGGTTGCCAGCATTTACATAGTCTGTTCTCTGTAAGGCACTTATGGGAATATTTAGGGCTGTGGGACAGATCCTCTTTCCTCATGGGTGCATATGTTAAGTGATGAATTGTACAGTGTTTTAGGAGTATAAGGAGTCCCACTGATTGCTGGGACCTTCAGAATGTCTCTAAGGAACTATACCTTGAAACACAATTTAGATCAAGGGACAGAGAGAGAAAGGAATTTTAATTTGTGCTGCTTTGTCATTCTCATGTGAGAGAGAGTTCTCCTGTAGGTCATTAACATGATTTTTCATTTATAGGATAAAATTGAAAGTCAAAAGAAACAGGGTTGCTTCTTTCTTTTGCTTATTGCAAAAGAGGTATTTGGTTTTTTCCTTCAGAATTACATTTAAAGTTGTTTTAGTCTTTAAAAACTACCTTTAATTGACTAACATTTATGCATATTTATGGGATATGTACTATTTTGATATGTATATACATTGGGGAATGAGTAAATCAAGCTAACTGACATATCCATCACTTGACATACTTATTTTGTAGTGAGAATATTTAAAACCTCCTCTTTTAGCAATTTTGAAATATATGGTATGTTGTTATTTACTGTGGTTACCATGCTGTGCAGTAGATCTTGCAGACTTTTCTCTCCTATTTAACTTAAACTTTGTACCCTTTGATTAGCCCCATTATTTAAGTCATTCCATAAATGTGAAATTATAAGTCATACAATCAGTGATAGTATTTTTTTTTTATTTTAAATTTTAAATATGTGGGGTACAATTCAGGGGTAGGTATACAAATGTTCATTATGCAAGTACCCTTGTTGATGAGGTGTGCCCTCCCCTCCCCTGGCAGTTTCCTACTACTGCCAATCCCGTCCCTCACCTCCCCTGTCAGTTTCCCATTACTGCCAATCCCTTTCTTACAGTATTTGGATAGTTGTTCAAGGTCCGCTTATGAGTGAGAACATGTGATAGTCAGTTCTTTGTTTCTGTGATAGATCAGTCCATATTATAGCCTCTAAGTCCACCCAAGTTACTGCGAAGTTCATAATTTTTGTCCTTCTTTCTGACTGTGTAATATCCCATTGTGTATATGTACTACTTTTTTTTTTTTCCAGTCCTCTTTCAGTGGACAACATGGTTGGTTCCATGTTTTTGCTATTGTAAATAATGCTGCAATAAACATGTGTGTGCGGGTATCTTTTTCATAGAGTGATTTGAGTTCCTCCAGGGGAATTGAAGGATTGTATGGGATGTCAATTTTTAGATCTTTTAGGAATCGCCACACTGTTTTCCACAGGGGTTGTGCTAATTTCCACTCCCACCAATAGTGTGGAAGTGGTCCCTTTTCACCGCATCCTCTCCAGCATCTGTTGTTTTTTGAGTTACTGATGATGGCCATCCTGACTGGAGTTAGGTGATATCTCCGTGTGGTTTTAATTTGCATTTCTTTGACGACTAGTGAGGCTGAGCCTTTTTTCATGTATCTGTTATCTTCTTTTGAGAAGTGTCTGTTCATATCTTTTGCCCATTTTGTAATGGGGCTGTTTGTTTTTTCCTTTTTGGCACATTTGAGTTCCTTGTAGATCCTAGATATTAGACCTTTGTCAGATATACAGTTGGCAAATATTTTTTTCCCAGCCTGTGGGCTGTCTCCCTGCTCTCTTGAGGGTTTCTTTGGCTTTGCAGAAGCTTGTCAGTTTGATGAGGTTCCACTTGTCTATCTTATCTCTTATGGCATGGGCACTTAGGGTTTTGATCAGGAGTTGGTTGCCAGTTCCAATTTCTGTAAGGATGTCTCCTGCATTTTCTAAGGTTCTTGTAGTTTGAGGTTTTACGTTTAGGTCTTTGATCCATTTAGAGTTGACTTTAGTGTATGGTGATAGGTAGAGGTCTTGTTTTAATCTTCTTCATGTGGTCAGCCAGTTTTCCCAGCACCATTTACTAAATAGGTTCTCTTCTCTCCAGTAGTTGGTAGTGGAGGCTTTGCCGAAGATGAGTTGGTTGAGAAATTGAAGTGATAGTATTTCTTTTTTTTTTTTTTTGAGTTGAAGTCTCACCCGGTTGCCCAGACTGGAGTGCAGTGGCCGCTCCCGGCCACCGCAGCCTCGACCTGCTGGGCTCGGGCGATCCTTCCGCCTCAGCCTTCCGAGTACCCGGAATTACAGGCATGCGCTACCTCCCCCGGCTGA